AAAGAAAGATTACAGCTGTAGGGCTTGGTTTATATATTTTCATCTTCTAAGAGAGTATAGCTTCTTGTGACTTAAGAATCAGAGGAAGAATCATGTTAGAAGATGTAAAGCTCTAAAAGCCATGCTCTCTGCAGGTTGTGATCATGAGAATGAGATTATTCTTTGCAGGCATTCTCATTACTCTGGGCCAAATTCAAACTGTAAACTGTTTAAATTTGCTGATTTTATCTAGGAAGGAGTATATATTTGTATGAATTGAGAGTTCAGCCCATCATGCTTTCTGTATACAATCTTAGTGTAGGCTTCTAGGCTGTTGCTCTTGAATTACAAATTCAAATATGGGTAATTTTAAATTGTTCTAACTTGTGCTTAGTTTTAAAGAAATCAAAGTGCTTTTTGCTTAAGCACTGTATTGTCGTGTGGAGATTGGGAGTGTAATGACAAGATCTGTAATAATTTTTTAGGTGACAGTAATGTAAAGAATACTTGCTATCAAAGGACATTTTACTTATCTTTCAGTGTCTTCAGGCAGGGATCAACAATAACAGCTTAGTTTCGCTATGAAAAATAAGGATTTTTAGTACAGGATTTATTTGTTTTATACTGGATCCCTGTGTGTGGTATGTTCTGTTGTGTGGATATAGAAAGTAAATCCTGACTACACTTTCTATTGCTGTATAACAGTTTTATTATTAATACAGGATATTAATACAGGAACAGTTTCTGTTTAAGCAGTGTGTATGTTTAAATATATTAAATGTGGGGAACAGCATGAATTGCCTTTTGCCCATTTGCATTCTTTGAATTTTTTCTTAGGAAGCAAAACATAAATACATAATAGCTTGGTATGCAAAGGGAAGTATTCTAGCATAGGGGAAGGAAAGAGATTCAGAAACATGCCTTCCTTTCGGAGGAAGACATTTTTCCCAGTATTGTGCTAGTTAGCCTTCCTTTGAACAAAGTCACTTCCACAGTATCTTTAATTCCTGCATGCAAATTAAAACTTCTCAGAAGATTCTTTAAAAGGTGTTTTAAGTATTATCTGTTATTCTGTGACACTTAATCTCCTCTGTGGTTATGTCAGAAGCTGTCATAGAGTGAGGGATGTGTGAACCAGACCACTTGATTCTTATTCTTCCCTCTGCCCCCTATTGCATTGAATATGTTCCTTTATTTTGCCTGCACACCATTCCCAATTATGAACATCATCATCTCAGCAGGTTCCAACTGTGTTATTACAATTAAATACACTTAGTAGCTATTCTTTAATATCAGTAAAATTAGGTACTTAAAGGGTACTGCCTGAAGTGTTTGGCTCTTAAAATTTTTCCCATGGTCTGTTGTTCCATGCCAGATCAACTTCAGTTCCTGAACATGCAGCATTCCCACATCCTCCTGCAACTCTTCAGCCAAAGTCAGTCTTTTGCCAAGGTATTCCTTCATGTGTCATCCAGGAATTGCATCATTCCTCAGCTCCTGCTTTCCTGTTCTAGTCTAGCCTGCATACAGTGATATTCTGGGATGTAGCACATGTAAATTCCTTCTCTTCTTTCCTCCTAATGGATCCCAATGTCTGTAAGTCCATGTCATGTCATTTAAATGAAAGGCCTGTGTGGCCATCTGCATGAATGAAGATACTGCACATGATGTATAGATTGCTGTGGGTTCTGCAAGTGTTAAAAACCTTTCTTTTCCTTTATATTTAGTCAGTTAAATTTGGTAAATTGAATTCCTGTCTTAATCTAGTCCTTTCACCAGCTGGGTCAAGAACTTGGCTTTTTCTGTGATGGTGTTAGCCTATATTGCATTTGACAAGTAAGTTCTAAATGGTCCTCGTAATGGATTGCTAAGACTGTGAGGAGGAGCTGTCAAATTCTTGATTAGCTGTTCTGTCAGAGAAGAATAACAACAAGTCAAAACTGGATGCCTTCCCAGGCAAGATTTTAGTGTTGTTTCAAAGACCTCTTTCTAAAGCCATTTACCCTTGTAGTAATACCTAAAGCAGCTTTTAAGCAGACAGAATACCCCTCTTAAAATGAAATATGATGCTCCAGGGTGGTTGTAAAAGAAAATGCTGTTTCTGGTTCAAGTCACACGTAACAGATCATGGTGGTTAAAGCTCTTTGTTGGTAGAATGAATCGGTATTGACTGCCTGGTTACTCTTGTGGGTCATTACCTTGTCAGTTAATTGGAAAGCTTGTGAGGGGCTTCTCTGTGACAGTGTTTTGCGGTAGAAGAAAACAACCTGGGAATAAATGTAGTTAAAAGCAGTTTGTAGTTGGTAACGATGGCTGGTTCGTACATGGTTTTGATTGCTGTGTGTGCATTGTACACTGGACTAATCTCTGTGAGGGGTAAGGGATTCCTGTGGTATCACTCTGAAGGCTAACAAGGATTGGAAACTGAATACTACCGTGAATTTCGTACCATAAATAAAACAAATACACTTGTAAGTGTCAATGCTGTATCTGTAGCAAAAGGATCTTTAGATTTGAGTCTCTGGTTAATCCAGCTATCACTTTGGTCAAATTTGACCAGCTTGGGTCAAATTAATGGCTTACTAATTACATCCTTTATTGATTTAGGTCAAATTAATATAAAATTCCATTAAAACTATAGCTCCACAAAATAATCTTAAAACTGTAGTTCTACTGTCATTGAAGTGGCAGCATTTGATTCCTTATTTATTTTTCAGTGACTTGTTAGAGACTCGAAAAAGAAATCTGAGTAGAGAGAGAATGTTTTTTCCCACTTCGCACCTGGTCCTGAAAGTCTGCATGGACTTGTGCATCCTTGTTAGCAATGCAGATTTGGCAACTCAGTCCTAGTTTGCAGTGCTGTTTTGGATGCATTGCTTCAAAAGAGGTTAAAAATTATCTCCCTGTTAGCTGTATGAGTTGTGCAGAGCAGTTAAATGTATGAACCTGGAGGGGAGCTTTCTGTGAGGAAAGTAAGCAGATAAGAGGAAGAGCACATGGAAGATATTTGTTAGAATTGCCATCTATATACTGTTGTTCTTCTGGCTATAACTGCACTTTACATTTTCTTATGGCCTGGGTCTTTAGAGTTGAATTTTATGAGGCAGTTTCAGTACAATTGGGTCAGTCACCCAGTATTCATTCAATTACACACTGCAGCCTTGCTGCTGCCCCTTGACATCTGTACACAAAGCCCATCTTTTTTTTACGTAACCTGATCAGCTCAGATGCCAGTTGTGGGAGATGCTGAAAGTCACTGGGGGCTCCAAAGCATAAGAAAAGAAGTGGCTAAATAGTTCATTCCCTCTGGCATGCCCAGAGGCAAGCAGGGACCTGATAATGGCATCATTACACCAGCAATACTTTGTGTTTTGCACATATATTGCTGTAGAAAGGGGAGAAATTTGAGACTCTGTGAGAAATGTCATTAAACACTTTAACATAGGTAGGCAGCTGCATTTCTGTTTGTTTCATTGCACAGACCTGGGGTGGTAATGAGGTGTCAGGCCTTGCTGGGCTGTAGATAGGAAAGGTGTGTGCTCCTTAAAGCAGGGTATTAGGGACAGCAATGCAAATAGATTGCCTCGTTAATGTGATTAAATGATACTCTGAATTCTGCCTCTGAGGCTATTTCACTCCCATGTGCAGCTGGGCAAGATGGTCCAACCAGCCTTTCTGCAGATGATCAGTAGCTGAGTGCAGCTCCAACTTCACTGCTTTGGGATTCATGCTCATGAAAATGCTGACTCTTGAAATAAGGCTCAGTAAGTGCTGTGCTTGGAAAATAAGGACAGGTTCTCGAAAGAAAACTGAAATGCATGTAAAAGAGAAATGCCTAGGCAGCAGGAGCTGTGTGCATGTCAAAAGAGGCACTCAGTCATAGTGTGCTTTCTGAATAAGTGGCTTGTGTTTCTTACACCTGTAAAATGAATACATCACTGCCTTGTCATGCAAGAGTATCACTGAAATAAATCCAGTGATGTCTCTGATATGTTTGGATATTTCAATGCCAAACACTAGAGGAAAACTCAGAAATAAATCATTAGTTCTTATTTGGGAAAAATAGTAATGGTAGGTCATGAAAGAAACAGAGTTTTTATAACACAGGCATGAGGAAAAATTGAGATGCTGCTAATGGGAAGTGCTGACTGTCATGTACACAGAACTGAGGTGTTTGACAGAAAAGAAAATAGTGTGTGATAAAATAATTGCACACTGTATAAAAAGTGTACACCTCCTAAGCCGGAGGGAGGGGAGTATTAAAGTTGCAAAAATAACCTCTCTCCTAACTCCTGATGTTTGCTTTTACTTGGATTTTTCAACTTCATGTTAAAAATGTAAATGGTGGATTTATTTATGAGAACCAAAGGCAAAAGTTTAATTTAGATTTGGTTAATATAAGAGTGGGAAACTTACATGCTTATATTATGTGGAAGAAAACCTTGAATTTTTTTCATAGAAGCATAGATGATGCCTCAATTTCAGCCCACTGTTCCATCAGTTTGGTACAAATATTTGATAGGTTTTTATGGATCTAAAGAAACCGAGTGCTGGTAACATAAAATTACTGTGAGGAGAAGTGACTGTAGTTGGACTTTTTCTGGCAGAGTTGAAAGCTGGATTGTCAGAGGATAGTAAACTGTCAGTTCTTTGTGAACTGAAATGCCTTTGTGTTAAGGTTTTGGATGATACTCTAGGAAAGCACCACTCCTGGACATTGCCAGGAACTTCTAAATTTGCTTTAGGTATTATGATCACACAAATAATCATAATTATGTTTCAAATGGTAAGTAAAATCTGTATACTCATTAATAAAGAGCTGCAAAGGTGATGTTGGTTAGTCACTAGCAACCCTGAAACTAAGCATAATTTTTGTCTTGATATTGACTCTGCTGTGTTTTGTATGAGTCAGCTTAACACTTTATTTCCATATGAAAATGTGTCTTGTGTAGCAGGCCATGTTGAGCAGAGGTTAACCTAACTTATTTTTATTTTATTAATTTTACTTTAATTCCTTCTAGCCTTCAGGAGAAAGAACAGCTGTTCAGCACGTCCATTAAAGAAACTACTGCCAAAGTAAGTACATGTTTTCAGTTCTTCAGAATATTTACAGATGATATCACCCATCTTAATATATTGTCTTTGTTTTAGGAAGTTAGCTTTGTGGTGTTCCTTCTAAGAAGATTTTGCACATAAATATTTTTAAGCGTACACTGAAAAGCCCTCCCCAACTTTTTGTTTGAACAGGTCACAAGGATTATAGTACTTCAGGAAGCAGATGGAGTCATCTCTTCTTTCTCAGCTTCTTTACTAGTGATCAGTCCTCTTGTTCAGGTCTCTATTCAGGAACAGACTACTCAGCATCATGAAATCATGGTCATAGCTGAATGTTTTAGCTCTTAATGCAGAATCTCTTACTTTCCTCTCTAACTGGTTTTGTTGGTATGAAAGGAAGAGCATAAATGAAGTACCTTTTAACCCCACCATTTCACTAATAATCTAGCTAGCAATCTCATTTTCATACCCTTTAAAAATACAAAGAAAAGTGATACAGCATATTTAGCATAATTTTTGTTTCTAACTAGAAATATTAATATTTTTCCTTTATATTTCTTATTTCATAGGCTTCTTTCCAGAAGTAGAACACTAGAGTTTTATTTCAGAATTGCCCACTTTGAGCAACTTATGGAGAGTTGCTGCATGAATACTCTAGAAAAAAAAGATCCATTTACTCTAGCCAGTTCACATAGATCTATATGAAACAGGAAATGAAAAAATATTTCTGGGTTTTGATTAATAATGAATTTATATTCTGAAATAAACTTATTTTTCACACTTTCTCTAATGGCAGTCAAAATCAGTAAAAAATGTATCCTTCATAATCTGATCTTCCTAGTCATCTTGACCAACACTTTCACTGTGCACTGTTACAAAGATAATTTGATGACTGCATCTCATTGCCAACTTCTTCCTTCTCTCCCACTTTATTTTGAGCTCATTTTCTCTATTCCTTGCTTATACCCACATCTTGCAAAAATTAATATAGACTATAACAGTGATTCCCCCTGTATTTTTGAAATGGCTATGAATAAAGTATCAAGAAAATTATTTTAACTGACCTACACCTCATCCACTAAAATGAATGAGACATTCAATAGCTCAACGTGATCTTTCAAGTGTTGTTTCAAGCTATTTGCAAGCTAAAACATAAGGTACAGAATTTGCCTTTTCCCCAGAAAATGTCTCATGAGGTATTATTTTATCACCATAGTACCTAGAGACTTTTTCAATCACAGCTCAACCATTGGGTAACAGTAGAGAAGTCTGTGAGGTAGAATTTCACAGATTTATTTTTTTTTCCCCTTTAAATTTTCATTAGACAAAATACTATTTTAATTTTATTCTATTCCTATGTGACGACTTTTATTTGTTATAGGAGATAAATAGGAAGCATGTAGTGACATTTCTCCAAATAATTTCCTATTTAGTTTATTCATATAATCTTATCCTATTATTTTCATCTCAAAATAAATAGAGCTGGTCTTTTAAACCTTTTTATTGTATGGGGAAAACATTCCTTTGTCAAAGGTCCTTCCTTTTCCCCAGTGCCACTGGCATTTCTATGGCCTTTTCTGCCTCCTCTCTTGTTTTCAGCTGTGGCTGCAAAAGCTAATTTCTGCCTGCTAATGAAGGGAGGGCTGTCCCTTATTCACCACTTTCCTTCAGAAATTAATATCTGCTTTCAGTAATGGCAAGATTGTGCTGTGTGGGAGAGCAGGTAGACTGTTCCTTCCTTTAGGCAGTGTGAGCAGAATTTCTTCATCTTTTCCAAGGTGCTGTTCTAAAGAAATATGAAGGTTACTCAAAACTTCTTTTATCTTGAGATGATTGGAGAGTCAATTCCAGTGCTTTACTTGCTGTCCTTGTCCCTGTTTTTGTCACTTTAGATTAACATCATATACTGGAAAGATGGAAGAGGATGACAATGGACAAACTTGCCTTTGATATTTTGCTGTTTTTCATCTTGATTCCACATATCTTTGCTAACCAGCTTCCAACTGGTTTCAGATAGACTGCTTTTTTGAATAACATTTCAGTCTGAATGCAGATTTATAAGGTGTATTCCTAAACAAGAGCCTTTTTTTTAAAAAAAAAAATCTGCTTTAAAAAAACTTCAGAAACCACTGAAGAGGATTTTGTAATAAATACAGTAACACTTGGCTGCAAAAACACTTTCCTGAAACTGAGACTTTTTTTTAGACTTTGAGCCTGTTGGTCTGTGGGTCACAGCAGAGCTGGTCTCTGAAAACAGGGAGAGGGCATTGTTGGGGCCACAGGCCCCCGCAGTCAGGCTGGTTACAGAAGGATGGTGTTCACTGGAAGCCCAGGACACTGGCTCTGTGAATGTTCACCACCTTTGTTAGCTAACAAATAACCTTTCCTTAGCAGCTGAATAAGCTACTGCAATGAATAATGGTATCTGTTATGAAGATACAATAATTACAAAAAGTGAAAAGAATTGGAGCTTGTAGAGTAGACCTGATGTGACATAGAAGCAGTGCCATAATTTTAGGGGATATTACTTTGTCTTTCCCACTTGCTCATTTAATTTTGTTGAACTATGCCATATGATAGGTCTGAAGATTAATGTTGTTCATTTATCTGCAGAATACATGTGACATAGATACAAGCAGAGGCCCGGCAGCCTACTTATCTCGTTCCAGAAGAATCATCTCCGAGTTGGAGGGACTGCCTTTCTGCCTCTGGTCCCTGCATTTGGTCCATTAATAAAGAGTGCCAGCGAGCTTTGTTCTGACAGTGGGGCTTACAAGGTGGACAGTGCTCACTAGAAACTGATTAAACATCCCAGCTTATTTTGCGTAATTGCCAAACAGCTGTCTAGTGATAATGACTTTAACTTACTACCAGCATGGGATATATTCATGCAGTTTTCCTGGAGCTGAAATACTCCCCATCTAATTGCAATTCACTGAGCCATTCAATGCCCCTAAAGAGAGAGTACTGCTTGGAAAGAAGTCATTAAAAACTTTCAGATTTATTTTGGAGATGGGAGACAGAAATGGCCTTTGGGTTTTTTAGGCACGTTTATTCACCTCTGACAGGTTTGGGGTTTTAAAAACATTTTAACTGAATTAGCCAGTGAGTCACTTAGAAGGGGGTACTGGAACAAATTGAAATATCTGGGAATTTAAAAATTATAGTAGATGCAGAAGCCATATGTGTTTTTAAATTAATAAGATGACTCTGAAGTCTTTACTTCAGAGTAACTGTTACTGCTTGGAGGGTAGTTCTGTTGATTCAAAAAAAATTTACCCATTTATAGTTAATAAATAGTCTCAGCAAAGGAAGAGGGTCTTATTAACTTAAAAGAATCTAAAGATTATTTTATATATGAATTATTATCATTTAATTGTATGAACAGGTAAACCATTAGAACTATAAAGTTTTGCTCTTTAAAAAATGAAGTTATACCTGTGCTTCTGTTAATATGCATAGCGCTTGTTTTTTGAGGAAGGAAAAATAAAAGTGAAGGAAGACAGGGAAACTTCTCTCTGGAGATTTCCTTTCACATGACATCATTTAAGAACTGGCCTGTGCCTGTCTTGGCTATTGCTTTAGTATTGGTTCCAGTGAATACAATGTTTTCTTAAGTGTCAGCTACTATTGTAAAGAAAGTGTTTGGCGTCTGCCTTCAGAACAAGGGATTTGCCTTAGTTCAGTGAAGGGTCTTTGTTCATTTTGCTTTCCTTCCCAAATGATGCATTATGGAGTAATCCAAACATTTTTTAATATGTGGGACTTGTATAAATTTTGCATGCTGTATAAGCTCCTTCTGAGGTGGCAATGTACACTGAAACGTAAAGTACAGAAGCGCCTGAATTTGCTTTATTTTTTTTCTCTATTTTCTTTCTCCATCTTTTCAATACCAAACCGTATTGAAGGACCTCCAGTTAAAAAGATAAAAAAGAGAGCAAGGGAAAGTCAGAAACCTGAACCCTAGTAATCTGTGTGTCCTGACTGTGAAACAAAGTACGGAGTCAAGCTGATGCAGCCTTATTTGTTGCCTGTGTGAAAAATAAGGCTGCTTTGCCTTTTTTCATTTAAAATGCAGAGCACGGTATATTTTGTATAAAAATCAGTGCACATTGTATGTCATGGAATTTTAATCTCCAAATACTGGCTTACTTATGCTCCACTTCAAGCACAATCATTAATACTGAAATTGTGCAGAATTTGCAAGATGGCCTTTCTTCTGTGTGCAGCCTCAGTGTGTAGTGGTGAAACATGTCCTCTCTCATGCAGGTAGTTAATGCTAATACCGTTCTCTGTTTTAACAATAGAATGTGCAGCACAGCCTGGAAATTTTGATTCAATGTTGGGTGTTTCTGTAAAGACATCACTTTTTATTAAGCTTTTTTACCTTGCTGCAGGATGTTATGTCATGTGTGTTAACCAAGAACGTTGAAGCCCCATTTCAACTGCCTTATACTTTTACATGAATGAATTCTATATCATGTCTGTCTGCCTCAATTTAGGTTTGCACGAGTCAGAAACTCTGCAGTACTTTGAGGAGGAAAGTGAGTGATATTGAGACTCAACTACCAGCTCTACTTGAAGCCAAAATGCTGGCTGTTTCAGGTAAGTTTTAAGTGATGAGAAGGATTAACAGTGTTAAGGAGTCTATTAGAGCAGTTATTGACCTCTTCATAACAGACTTGTTAGGGAAAGCTTTTCATGTGCTTGTGTAGATCCCTTGAAGTTGTGGCCAGCCTGTCAGAACAGGGCTATGCCATGTCTTGTGTAAGGTACTTCAGGTCACTCTCCACACTTTGGAACTACTGGCAAAGCTGATGCTGTGTGGTAGACAATTAATGTGCAAAACACATGGTATTTTTCCGTAGGTGAAATTGATGTGTAATCATCAATTGCTGTTCCAGGACTCCTAAAGTTACATTCTTAGAGCTCTCTAGCTAAGTTGTAAATGTATAGCTAAGGAATCATAAGTACAAGTCTGGCTTTAAATGACACTTTAAAATGGAATACAATAATTGGCAGCTTCTGCTGTTCAGATCATTAAACAACTAATGTTGGCAGCAAAAGAGCACTTTCATCCTTGGAGCACTCGTGCATGTTATTTACAACCAGTAAAACACTGAAATGTGATTACAGAGTGTGATACATAACAACCTTACATGTCATTTGCTTGGGATTGCTGCACTGTTCAGCATGGAAAAAAGGCAAATCACAGTCCTTTCTTTTAAGTTGAAAGAGGTGGGTTTTCTAGTTCAGCAAATGGTTTGCAAATGTTCCAGTAGGTGTCTCTGCTAAACACCTGCCTCAGAGAGGAAGCTGAGTAGAAGGGAATGTGGACTAGAGTGCAAGGAGTTACACTAAGTAAAGAAAGGCTAAAGGGTTTTTGATACATGTTGAGATGTAGCTCTCCATATGTGATTTATATATTAAGTTATATATAAGAATCTGTATTACACACACAAATTATTTTAAAATGAAACCTTGTACAGCGTCACATGTTTTGTTTGCAAGGAGTGGATAATGTGAGCTTGAGCAAAGTCCTAAAGGAAATTAAAGCCCAGATTTTGTGTTGATGCTGAGCATGCTCAATTCCCGTATTTCTCATAAAACCTTTCTTAAAATGTAAGTCTTTTTTATTTCACTCCACCTATAAGAGGTAAACCAGGCAATGGTCCTTCTCTACCCTTAGACTGTTTAAATGTGGGTCATTTTATCACTTTCACAAAAGGGGTTTTATGGCTTAGGGACAAAACAGCCCATAAACTGGTCATGCAACTACATGTAGGAAGCAGTTGGCCAGAAAAGCTGTATCTCAGTCTGACACTTGGAGAGAGTGAATGACAGCTTGAGGATCATTTCCAAAACATTCATAACAGCATTTTATACTTGTTAGCTCTTAAAAGTGGTTGTTTGTTTCAGGAATGAATTCCAATTTAATGCTGCTCTTAATATAAAATGTTTTTACAATTGTTTGACTGCCTTTCTATGTTTTTTGAGAAGTATCACTGCATTTTCTTTTCTTCTTTTACTTCAGGGAATTTTAATGACTGTGAATGGTACAATCCTAATTTTTTACTAAGGCAAAATTCTGCATGGCAGAATTAAAAATCAAGGACGAAAGGTAATTTGGTGACAGTGGATACTGTAATTTCTTTACCTCATTTTAAGATACAGATACATTTAGTCAATGTGGTGGCACTTGTTTATGTAAAATGCAGAGGTATATACAGAGAACACAGGGGAGAGACAAGAATAAAAAGAAAATTATTTCTTTGAAGGCCTGAAAGTAAAAAAGTGAAAAAAAAATAAAATCTGAAAACACCAGAAATAGTCTTAGAGCACAAGGTGAATAAAATCAGAAAAGCCAAGATACAGTGAGTTGCAGCTAGCTAGCAGAGAAGCAAATCAGGAAGAAAAGATTTGATAAATGCAGAAGAGGAAAGAGGAAGTAAGGTACAAAAATACGGGGGTTGTGTTGTTGGGGTTTTTTCACTTAATAAGGCAAACCCAGTGAATAGTGGATAATGGAGAAGGCTAAATTACTTTAGTTTCTGTGTATTCCTGTGTAGGATTAAATGAATGACACCTCTTGAGGAAGGCATTGTTAAGAAGCAGGTGTTAACCTTCTAAATACTAGCTAAGATTAAGCAAGACACTTTATGTACATATTCCCTGGTCTCTCAGCCACAAGTGTTACAGCCACAGTGAACAGCTTGTCCATCCTCAATTGTTAGAAGTTGGAAGAGCTTTCAGTTGGGTAATATGCACTTACTTAAGGACAGTCTTGGAACAGGCTGACGTTCAGAAGAAATTATAGCATGCATATGAAAATATGCTGTAAGAAAGTTGAGTGGTCATAGAGGTTTTCATGTAGTCTGGAAACATCAGGCAGGGTTAAATGTCTGTTACTTCTTCTTATGTAGCAGTTAGATAATTCATTCAGACAGTTTCTTCAAGAACACTGTTAATGGATACTGAGAACAACTGTTTTGCTCTATACAGATGTCGCATAATTTTTGATAAAAGTAGCATTTTTCTTGAGGAAGCAGTAAGAATTAAGAGACTTTGGAACAGTGTCAAAGCAAAAAAGGTGACTGTATCCCTAACATTAGATTAGATGAGCTAAAAAGTGAAAATTATGAAGTGAAAATTAGCTTTCAGAGCTTATATGTGGTGACTTAATGATGTGATGACTTGGAAAGCATGATATATACCTCAGCCTTTAATGGCTATCTTGACAGCTTCAGACAACATTCATTTGGTGCATGAACTGTACTTTCTAATACAAATACATTGATTTAAAATACTGATGTATTTGCACAAAAAAAAAGTAAGAATATAGTTTGATATAATTTTTGGAGGAAAATGCTCTGATAAATGCAATGTGAGCATAAGTTCTGTTAGTCTTATCAATGCCGTACCATGGAATTTAGGGCTGTATGCTAAATGATACTGTAAAGATGTGAGAGACAATACTATGTGTATAAATGCCTCTCCTTCCTATTTTTTCATCCTGGGAAGAAGTACAAAATTAAATTTAGAAGAAAAGAAAGTTTGTGAATATTTGGATTATTGAAGGCCATAAAAGAAATTGAATTAAGTTCCAGTGAGCTTTCTAATGGGAAAAAGAAAAGAAGCCCATACTTACATGTTCAAGAGACATTTTTATCAACAAGTGAAAATCAGAACCTTTCTATCAACACCTCAATTACATCTGATTGGCCTGTTGGGACAAATAACTAATAGTTAATACTCCGGAGATGCTAGTCCAGAATTTTCCTCCAGAGAGAATTAGAAGGATCCTATGTCATTCCAGTTATTATGTCAGTAGCTTTAGGTAATTATAGGTAGCAAGTTCTCCTGATGTCATGAGATGTTACTGCTGATATGCACATCTGTAAATTCTCATCAATGAGCTGTTATAGTTTAGCATCTTAGTTGGTCTTTTTTTAATTATACAAAAACACTTTAATGTCAGTGCTTAGAAACCTGCATGTGATGTTTCTAACAGCTGCTTCTTACAGTGGCTCTGAACATGCTCATAATATTTTGTAATCAGTTTTAGGAAGAACATGGCAGTATGTGATACTCTGTTCTTTCTTTTAGTATCATGTTACTATTTAGCATGAGATTTTTCTAGGGAATAAATTTCGGATGAAACAATTTGAAGCTTGTAAGAAAATTCAAGTAGGATGATGTTTACGCAAGTGTGAACATAACTGTAGAAAATTATTGAAACTTATTTTCATACTTTGAGCTGTTTTACACAAGAGGAAATAATAAGAGATGGTGTGTTTCTGTTGTTTTCTTAGTGACAAAATAATTTGGGAATAGGACTGAAGATGCAAACTAAAATGAATTTTTAGTCCTGTTTCATCTCTTTCCTATATTTGAATAAAAGAGGTTTATGGAGGTACATTTTACAGTGTTTTCATAGACTCTTTGAGAACTCTTTTTCCTCTTGAGAATACATATTAGCACGGGACTAGATAGCCAGAAAGTGGCTTAATGAGAAGCTAAGCAGGCATGAATGAAATTCTGTTTATTATGTAGTTATCCATGAGATGCATATCATTAACTTTCCTTCTGTTTTTGAAAACACAAATTAGATCCAAACACAGAACTTAGAGTGAGGTGACTTGTAGTTTGAAAATCTTGAAATTGTCTATACCATTTAGAGATCATGTGTCATGGTCCTATAAATATCATTACCTATATTTCATTAAGTACTGGCAAGTGGGAGCTGCTTGGAAATGATGTTGTGGGATGATTTCCAGCAGTACAATAAGGTTTTTTTCCTTATGTCAGTGTAAAAGCATAGTTTTATAAATAACATGACATAAATACGAGATAGCATATTTCACAAAGCCTAATGTTAGGGCTGTTGCCTCTCTGGCTGCCCTTTGATGCTCATTTAGGGCAAATTTTTCATGGATCCAACTGTAACAAAAAGTGCCCCCCAGCTTTCCAGATTTGGTGCTAAGTATTCCTGTTGGGAATGAGTAGGTTAGGGGAGGGGGGACAGAGCCATCAGGCTGGAAGATGCCAGTGCAGGCAGAAGGACATTTTCAGCCATCCATCTGTGGTTTATGTTAATGTGGATGCCTTGTTTTCATGCTTGTGATGTAGTCTGTCATTTCAATCAGAAATATGAATGGACACATAGTTCTTGGTATGTCAAGTTCTTCCCCAGACATGCTGCTCCTAATTTGTCTTTCACCGGAAGGTAGTGATGTTCCTGGTTTCTTTTCTGTTCCTGAGAAATGTTGTTTGGTGATGGTTGCAGAACTTGCCTGATCTTAGAGACAAAACCAACAATGCTCCTTTGTGCCTTCTCACAAAGGCTCTGTTTTTTGATGAATTGGAGTCCAATAGAGGGCTGCATCTTGTCAGATGACATAGCTGGTTCCACACTTGCCTATTCCTGATTCCAGCAGCAGCCTGGGTTGATGGATCAGAGGTGTACTGAGATTTATTCTACTTCATGACTGCAGTGTCTGGTTCCAGCATACAATTCTGTGTATGGTCATGTCTTCCACAATACTCACTTTTTATATATATATTATGAAATAAAATTTGCCACCATATATTGATCAAGCAGTGTACTTTTTGTCACACCTATTTGAAAAATAATGCTATTGAGTCCCCCAAACCAACTCTCTAATGGTCCCTCAGACTTCAGACAGCTCTGTGTTGTGGTTTGTCCCCAGCCAGCAGTAAAGTCCTTTGTGGACATTCTCTCTGCTCACACTGGGGGAGGAAAGTAAAACTTCTGTGTTGAGATAAGAACAGTTTAATAACTGAAGCAAAATAAAATAGAATAGTACTAATGTTAAAAGTAACAGCAATAATAATGGTAAGGAAAAGGAGAGTGAGAAGAGGCATAAAGCCCAAGACAAGCAAGTGATGCACAATACCAATAAAGTGATGCTTACCACCCACAGACCAGTGCCCAGCCCATTTCCAGGCAGCTATTGGTCCTTCTCAACCAGCTTCCCCCAGTTTATTTGCTGCATATGACGTTCTGTGGTATGGAATATCCCTTTGTCCAGTTTGGATCAACTATCCTGGCCATGCTCCCTCCCAGCTTCTGATGTACTTGCTTGCAGAGCATGTGAAACTGAGATGTCCCTGATTTTAGGCTAAGAACTGCTCAGCAACAGCTAAAAACATCAATGTGTTATCAACATTATTCTCTGCCTAAATTCAAAACACAGCACTGTACCAGCCACTAAGAAGAAAATTAACTCTATCTCAGCCAAAACCAAGACATTATACTGTTTGTCTTTTTCATCTTGTTTTCAAGTCAGACTGCGAGATACTACTGGCTTTCAGTGAACTTCAAGGGTAATTCATTGTAGCTGAAGTTCCAGCATGATATGTGACCAGACAGCAGAAAATGTTTTCTTCTGTTGGAGAAGTCAGTCATGAAACAACTTACTCTCTTTCACTCCTCTTACCTAAGCAGCTATCCCTGGAGCAGGAGAGAAGGTCAATTTATCTCTTTGGCAGCTCTTTTTTTTTTTTTTTTGGTTTTGTGCTCAAAGATGACATGTTAAATAGAAGAGCTGTGAAGGGAAGGTGCTATCCCTCTGTAGAAAGGGGCTGTGCTGTGGTCTGGAGGGCATGAGAAAAAACACTTGTGGAAGGAGACAGATATGTCTTTCCATTGTTACTACTGATTTGAAATGTTATTACTTTGGGTTTATTTATTTGTGCTCCCCACTGTCCCTTTGGGGATTTTTTGGGGTTTTGTTTTTTTTTTTTAATATAGGTATATATATTCCTGACTTGTTCCTTGGTGACTGACTGTGTCCAGGTACAAGAGGCTCTCTGTGTCTGAGAATTGCTCCTCCAAATGTATGTCTGTGGGGTCTCTCGCCTTCTTCTAGCTGGCAATTACCTGTCAGGATCACATCAATCACGTAGTTGAGTTATGCTTCATAAAAGCATTGACATGTGTTATTGCTTAAAAACAATAATTGCAATTCAAATGTGCTGGATTTCTGTAAAATGTTTCAGGAGATGGTAGACTGTCCTTCATTCGCAGTTTATTTTCTCAGAGGTGCAAACACACTGGCAGTCCTTCCAGAATCTTACATTTGTCATGTCTTTAGCTTTTTCCCTTTCCTTTGTGAGTAGGTGAATGGTATTTATTTTCTTCAATTTCTTTTGTGGTGTTGAAATCACTTTGTATCCTCATTAATCACAGGGTGGAAGATTTTCAACCTTGTATTCTGGTACCATTGATAAATACTATGGCGGCAAATGCCCTGAGCTAAAATGTAAATTTTCACTTTCTTATGAATTATTAAAGGTAGTGCTGTAAGTATATGAAGAATTAATTTATAGATAATGATGAAGAATGACCAGTCTATTCTTTGTTACATTTAAGCTAGTGTCCAATAGATATGCTTTATTATTAATGACAAATTTACTCCTTTGTACTACAACAAACGTATTTTCAGTGGGGCTGAGACTTCTCTCTCTGGTTCAAGTATAAATAATGGTAACTATGAATGTATGTAACTTCTGCCATAAATTTGAGAAAAAGTGTGAGTAAAAAATCTGTGGACCCGTAACTTTGTCCTATGTTTTGAAGGGGGAAATATTTAATAAAGTTTAAATAATAACATATTTCTTGTTATTTGGTAAAATTGAACAGATTTCAAACCGTATTTTTAACCAATTTGTTGCTGCTAAATTGTATCAAAATAATGTTATTTTACTTCAAGACTACTAAATAGGCAACTATCTGCCCGATATAGTAAAATCTGACAACGAGGTGTTATAATGGGCATGAGTTCATGGCATGTAACTATATGTACAGAAAATATATTTGATGGCTAGAGTACTATTTAGCTGTAGCCATATAAAATTTTAGGAGTAGAGAAAACAAGGGAAATACAGTAATGTTTACACTAAGTAAAAGTAGTAATTACATGACTACTTTCTGCCTGGAGATTTTTTTTTTATTTTTACTGTTTTTCCTGTGTGTGTTGTTGTGCTTGATTTGGCTGGTATTTTTGGCATTCACATCAAGCTGCTGGAGCTTACCTGATGTCACTTTCTGTAGAGGATGAAGGATGCATGGGAGGAGTGAGCCCCAGAGGGCAAGATTAAGGAGGAAGATTTAACTTTTTTTGTTGCTGTCTTTCAAGGTAATGTTCAGTCCTTCAAAGAGAAGTGTACATGCTCAGTTTCTTATGACAGTGCACTGCAAGCACCTCACCCTCCCAGGGCACTGGGAACTGGAAGTCTGCTGCCCCACTTTGCACCCAGTGTGTTTATATGAATGTGGATGCAGTGGCTAAAATTGCACATCTCTAGCAAGCTTCACTGTGAGGAAGGAGGAAAAATGGCATCTTGCTCTCCAGTCGCCTTCACAGAATCTCTGTCCCAAGCCCTGGTTTTGACCAGAATCTCAGCCTTGGTCTTTAGACTATTAATTCCTTAGCTTTGTTTTCTCTGTACAGATTTTCTGAGTAGACAGTTCTATTGGCTGCATGATTTTTGAGTTTCCTAGGAAGAGTATTGAATACTCTTTTGTATTTTATATTTATCTATATAGATTATATATATATATATATAATTTATATACAGTACTCTACTGACTTAACCAATATCAACCAACTAGAACTCTCTCACTGATATGGCTGTGTAATACACAGCTCTGAGTGGCTGACAAAGTTATTGTGTTCACTTAGGCAAACTAATTATTAAATTATCAAAGAGAGAAATGTTAACATTTTGAGAGCATTAGCAGAATAAAGTTGACATATGTCTTCAGAATGTTTGTATGGCATCCAATGTGACATCTCGACAAAAAAACAACAACAAAAATAAAAACACCTACAAAAAGCCCACAACAAAACAACAACAAAAAAAAACAACCCAGGAGGGCAAGTTTTTCAATGCTGGCAGCTATGGATTATATATTAATTTTTTAATCAACCTTCTTCTGGCATTTAGAAAACAGTTACTTTGGTTGCTGGGATTGAGGTCAGAGCTCACTGGTAATGGTACTTGCGATACCTGAGTTTTTGTATGCTCTTCTGAATTTTCACTGCAGACTTTCAGACATTTTTGCTGTCATGGGAAGCTGCATCAGGTAGGGTGTCTTTTGCTTTTGAGTTTGTATCTGGTGCCATTTCCTTATAGCCTGAATTTCGATATAAACTTCTCCTCTGGGAATTCAGATCCATTTAGTATATATAAAACTTTCATATGCAATATCATACCTTTTTCCTTGCTGTTCTCTGAAATGTAACAGCAGGCTTCAGATTCTAATGAAGATTTTCTCACCTTCATGTTTTATTAAGCCTCCTGTGCTTTGATGCTTGGGATGAGTTCAGGTGAATAAATGTGGACTCAAGTCTTGTTACCTTAGAAGCATCTGATTATTTGCCATTTTCCCAGTGATTTTGTCTTGCTTATTTTGTTGCTTTGTTTTGCCCATTTGGAAACATGACAAATTAAGGTAATAAAATCTGTGCTGTTGTTTCCCAGTAAAACACTGGTAAGCATAAGATCCTACTATTTGTAAGATCCTACATATGCTATTTGTAAAGTATGTTTATATTTATTTGTAATTGCAAGACTGAAGTGGCAAATAGGGTTTTAACTGGGAATTAGAAATGAAGGACTTTTGAACTGTTAAAAAGAAACAAGAAAATGTCAACTTTGAGGAATGTTAGATAGGAGGAAGAGGTTGAATGAAACTGTCATAGCCTTGGGACTAAAAAAAAAACACCAAAAAAAAAATGTAAAACAGGACTACCACGCTGAGCAATGTTCAGTTTTTAACTGATCTTTAACTTTCAATTTTGACTTATTTGATATAGTATTTTTCCAAAATTTTGATAAGCACAGCCTCCCTCTGGCACACCTGCCCTCATACAGCCACTTGAGTTTGCAACAGCATCTTTGCTCCAGGCTGTAGGTGTTTGGTGGAAGTGCTTCTGTTCACTCTGGCATTCTGGAGGAATGGAGCCTCTCCAGGCAGCTGCTGGTGGTGGTTTGCCATCTTCTGACCGCTGTAAATACTTGCATCCCATTCTTACTTCCTTGTCTTGAAGAAACTGAACAGCAGCCAAAGCATTCCCTTTTAAGACTTTGTGACCAACACTTTGAAGACTGCAGGTTGAAAAGACATAGTGCCATAATTTAGGATATTCTGATGTGGATTTGATTGTTTGGATTATATTTTAATATTTGAAAATAAACTTTTCAATTGATCTGTTGTGTCTAAGCAACAGTGTAAACAAAAAATTTACTGTGTAAACAAAACCAAAAAGGAGCCCTTACGTCTGAATAATGCTAGTGGTACTATAAAGTGATTTCAGGAGGCTAAAGTAATTTCAGAAGCTGATGAGACATTTTTGTGACTGGATTTGTTTTATGTTAGTATTTGCTTCAAGGCTAAATATTCTAAGTGCCTTTACTTACTAAGTATCTTTACTTATTAAATCATACTACTAAATTTTTGCTAATTTAGGATGATATCAGAGCTTAAAACTTATGTTAAAGATCTTCTTTTGTTGGGCAATTCTGTATGGAAATTATTTTTTTCAAGAATTCTTTTGATTAAAGTGTTGTGGTGGGGTTTAGTTTTTCTTTTGTGTGTGTATATTTTAGTGGGATTTTTTTCCCCCAGCCAAGTATCTCAATCATTAAAATGATTCTGGTACAGTTATGTAAATGTAGCATTGTTACTCTGTTGCTGTTTAAAAGTAATTTAATGGCTGAGGATCTCCCTGTCATTTTCTATTTATTACAGAAGACTTCTTTGCAAAGTAAGAAAAAATTCCTCTCCAGCTACTTATAAAACTGGTTTTCAGAGTAGTTTAGTGGATAAATATTACTAGACTAAACCACTTGGGAGTTGAACTTTTTACTCTGGATGCCTGTCCAAAGGAACCAGACATTTTTAAATACTCCAGAGCAGCGTGAGCTGGTGCTGCCAAGGCCTTCTGCCTGTGATGTTTCATGCTTCAAGGAGAGGCAGAAGTGGAGGGTTGTGACTTCTGAATGTATTCTCTGAGAAAAACATCTCTCCATGGTCTTTGCTTGAGGTGCAGCCATTTAAGAAATGTAATGTGTCATTCATAAAGAACCTTCCGGTGCTTGTTACAAAAACCAGCACAAGGCTGCTTTGTTCGGGGAGGAAATACTTCAGTGTCCAGCAGGTTGAAGGCCTCTGTTTCAAATACGCTGTTATTTGAGGCGGTCTTCTAAAAGAAAAAAATGTTCTGATAGATCACACTGCAGTGATCAATGAATTACAGTATGATGTTATTTGAACTGTGAACCCTTAGGAACAGGTTTCCTGAAAAAATGTGAATTATATAAATAATTCTGTGTGTGTAAGGTTAAATCAGCTACAATTATTATTTTTGTAATATTAATTAAATAGATGCTTGCAAAGCAGTTTTTCTCCCCCCTTTCAGTGCTGTTAGGAAGTATAATTGCCTAATTTCCCAGGATTGCTATGTAAGCTACTGATGTTGCAAGTGTCTGCCTCATTGTCTTTTTCCTCTTTCTTCCCCTGCCCCCACAAAACATGCAGGAAGTAATTTTGGCACTGCAAAGGATCTTGCAGAAGAAATAAGATCATTAACATCTGAGAAAGAGGGACTGGAAGGACTTCTCAATGAACTGTTGGTTCTGAGTGCCAGAAATACACGAAAATTAGAGAGAATTCAAGATGATTACACCAGGCTGAAACAAGAACTTGAGCAAGGAGAGACTGCCTTTGGTGAGTAGTTTACAGATTGCTACAGCTTTTTGCTCAGACCTGATCTCCTGAAGGTCTGCTGGGTTTGATGAATCGTTCTGCATTTCACAAAACATACTGATTGTTCTGAGGAAAGTCTGGCAGTGACCTAGAGAAACAGTATGTTCAATATCCTCTCAGCTGTTTCCCCTGGAGTTGGAGGAGGCTGTGGAGAGCAAGGGATACCCCAGCAATATACCACTTTTTGAAATATGCCTTAGCCCAGTTCTCAAAACCTTTCTTTTCTAAGCCCATTTTAATCACAGTGATGTGTTCACATACAGAGGAACATGTAGTCTTTATGCAGAAGCAATAGATGTGTCTGGCTGTGACAATAGGAACATGTTTGGTGTATGAAACTAAATGTTTGGTACGTACGTTTGGTGGTGGGTATGAGGTGCAAGAGATTCCTGATTCTGAAAGCAAGAGTTCTCATAGTAAATTTGTGTTTGAGTGGGAGTTTAAATAACTTGCCAAGTGCTGCTCTCACACATCTATGGGCAGTGTGCTTGGGTTGTAGTGTCATGGTGGAATTGGGGAGGTTGTCTGTGATTACTGGGAGAGCTACTGACAAATTATCAAATAGTAAAGTCATTCCTAGACTTGACTTACTCTCTTGCCTGCTCTACTCACTCCTGAAGTTGAAGTAGATAAAATGGCCTTGCTGCTTGCTTAAACAAAAAGGCTCAGTAATTTTTGATTGACTACAAATATACTAAAATTATCTCTAAACTAAATACAATCCTGAGAGCTACTTTAAAGCTTTAGAATTTGGAAATGTCTTTCCTTTTTCAGGATCTATGAGGAGTAGGTTGGGTGAAGAGAGAAAGGTGCCTATGTTTTAGAAGCATATGAAGCTTCTTCATAGGCAAGTGGATAAGCAGAGCTATTTTAAAACAAAAAAGGCATCTGGATACATCTAATACTGTGTTTTAAAAATGCATAGAATAATGTATATACTCACACACTTCTAGGTAAGAATTCGCTTTTTTAAAATCTAGATAAAATTTTAAAAAATGGTTCCTCAAAATTGCACTGTGATGCAAACCCAGAAATGCACATCAGGCAATGCTGCTTCTTTACTTGGATTTTCAAAAGAGTTGAAAAGGATTCTGACCTTCTAATCAGCCCGTTTTTTTTTCTCTTTTATTTTAGGACAATTAAACTTCCTGTAATACACATGTATGTTTTCATTTGTGTTTAGTTTAGCAGGGTTTTAAATCAAGCCTATACAAGACACTTGCTGATACCACAAATGGTATCAGTTTACAGTCTTTTTTTTCCCTTTTGGATTTATACAGCTGAGAGGAGATACCTTCTTTACCTGACCTCCACTGTCCCACATTTTGTGACAATAAATTTCAAAATACAGGGTGTTTACTCTATAGATTTTATTTTAATTTACTGTGATTCTGTAGGCATAAGGAGAAATTTATCCTTCTGTTAAAATAAAATGCTGTCAAGCAGATACTAGTCAGAGATACATAAATTGAAACCTGGCATCTTCCCTTTTCATCATCCCTGCCCCCTTTACATATGATCTACCCTATTTTCTCCTTTACAAAATGGAAATATTTGAGAACACTGGCATGGGTTTGATACCAACATATTTAACTAAATGTAAACCTTCAGATGTACTCTGGAAAACAGTATGCAGATAGTGTCCTGAGGAAAAGAAGCCACTTTTTTGGAACAGTGTTATTTTGCACAGCATTTTTATATTTAGAGAATAAAGCATAAAGAATTGGAATACAATTTTGTTGCCTTTTTTTTTTTTTCCTGCTGTTCGAAAGAACTGGAGATAGTTGTGTTGGCTTTGTCTGCACTGTGAAAGGTGTGATTTGAGTTGGGATAACTGACCTGACTTACTTCACAGCCTTAGGCCTGGTGTTTCATTTATGCCAATAAAATCTGCCTTGCTGCAGAGAAAGGCAGTTCTTCCTTTTCTGTGTTCCTGCCCCATCCTGTACACTATAGGTGTACGGTCCTATACGTGTCTATTTCTATGTCATCTGGTACTTGAATTGTTGCTTTGTGCCTGCGACCTTCTTGAAAACTTTATTTTTTTTTACTGAACCTAATACTGCTTTGTATGGAAAATACTGGACAAAAAATTTAAATGCTAAAATATGTGTGTGTGTGTTTGTCTTGTGTATAAATTGGTCACCTATTTTTTACTTCATTAATAATTGTTGATTTCTCATAGTAATGCAGATATAAGGAAGCAGACGTCAAGGGAAGAGACTTAATCACACAATAATCAGAGCTGGAATTTTAAATAGGACACATCATTAGCATGTTAATGAATTTTCTCACTCTGTGCCAGCTGCCCAAGTATAAAAGATATTGCAGATGTAGTGCAAAAATCAGGCTTGGCTTACTGCACTGAGAGCTGTCAGTGCTCTCTATGAAGGAAATTTGACAAAAAATCCTTTCATATTTTTAGAGATGCTAAAAAATATGCTTTTCATGTTGGATAATAGAAGCATTGACAAGTAATGCTATGTATTAGCATTTTAGGATGAATAGTACTAACTTGCCCTTTAGACATTGACTTTCTTCTGAGGCCGTCAAAACGCTTGCTATAAAAGTGATCAACTGTTATTTCCATTTTACAGATAGGAAAGCCTGGGACTTAGAGGTCATGTAATTTTACCTGAAATGGTGGTGAAGCAGTTGCCCAGCTGACAGTCTAGCATCAATCCTGATTGAATTAATCTCTTGCAATAAACATATGAAACCAAAGTGGTGCTGTGTTTCTTTGTGAGCTTTATATTCCTCTGGACTGCTGCTGAAGACGCAATGGTTCTGGGAAAATCGCTGAAGGTCTTGTGCTTGATCATTGAGCAGACCTGTCTTATAAAGTCAGAAGGTTCTGTTATGGCAAAGAAGAGAACTGCTTTACAGTCCAAAACAACCAAACTTGTGTTCCAGACAAGTGAAGCTTAATTACTTGCCTGTCTGCCAAACTGTTGGATTGTACTTATAAATCCTGGCTTGGGTTGATTGACATTTGTAACCCAGGGCTGGAAATAAAACCTACCCTCTTCTTGTGGCTTCCTCACTACCAGTGCTGCTGGGAAAGTTTTCCTTCCTCGTATGCTGAATTTTTTTCCTGGCTGCTCTCAGCTGTTTTCTGCCCCTATTACACTTTTGGGAAAGCACCTCCCATAAGTAATGTATGTATACACACAACTTGGTGGGGGGGGACCATGCTTCCCAATCTAATTGCTAGGTTGTGCTTGCCAAGTCATGTTAAGTAGAATTTCGGTACTGCATTAATTTCTAGAGGAAGTATAAAATAAGGGCTTTCATGCACATGAAAATAGCTTTTTAACCCTGTCGTGGTTTAAAACCAGTAACTAAAAAATTACTATTTTTTTTCTGTGAGATATGGATTTGAATAAGAGCAAAACAGGCTTAAAACTTAAAAGGAATAGAAACAGTTTATTAACAAACTACAAGAATAAGAACACTAGAATAAACTTCCAGAAAACCCTTTTATCTCTCACCACTTAACCATTCTTTTGTACACATGATAACATAGAGACAAAAAAAACTTTAGAACTTTGGTGGTCAAAAACAGTCTCAATTTTTGCTAGAGTCTTTCTTTCAGTCTTTGTAGAGAAACAGAAGTCTCTTTTTGCCAATGTATGGAGTTTTTAGAGTTCACTCCTCCCATTCCACATCACTCCGAGGTGTGCATGGGTCAAATGAGTCTAGGGATACTATTTTAAGGATTAGTTATTCAAAGGCAGAAGTCTTCTTCATCTGTCTCTGAGAGCCTTCCTGGAAAACAGCTTTTGCTTTGCCCTTCAAGGCTTCAAAAAATCTTCACTCTACTCATCTCCAGCAACTCACAGTATCACAATTACTCTTATTTTAAAAAGTCCACACTTTGAACACTCTATTCCTCCCATACTCTAGTCATGAATTAAAGGAGTCTTTTAAACTACTATTATCCATCTCCATAGCTTTAACAGAAAGATATTTCAGCTGTACGCATCTCCTTATTCTCTTTTTCTTATTTAAACTTAACTCTTTCTCTCACTGTTTTTAGTGGTTCTATGATGTTTTTTGCATGCTGATTGTCTCTTTCGTTCTCTGTCTTTTCTGAAAAAAAAGAGTAATCTGTTCATTTATCTAAGTAGTAAAAGAATTAAAAGCTTTAGAAAGCTGCAAGAGTTCATAGTGTTAGGTTTCAGTCCCGCAGCAGAAACTGAAAACCAAGCTCGGCTGACCGACTCTGCTTCTCTCCCCCACCCCTCCCTGTGGCCTTGTCGGCCTGGAGCGGGGGGGAAGGAGGCCAGGACAGACCTTGTTACCTTGTAAAAAGCCGGAAACCAAAGAGGGCAAGAGCACTCTGTCTGTACTTCTTAAGGGGGTGTTTACAAGTTGAATTCACTTTTTAATGGTCAGATCTGCTGTCAATTCTTGGAAATGACTGATAATTAGTCAGGAGGAAAAACTCCCAGCAGCCACCAGCAGCGCCAACTTCCCCTCTTTCTAAGCTGTCTTAAAGGTGAAGCTACCCCATGACAAACCCTTTTAAAAAACACCAAAACCCAAACTACTGTTTGAAGGCTGATATTTCAGTCTCTCTGCTCAACTCCTGTTGCCATCCTTGACTTTTATTGTCTTAGAAATTGCTTGTGTAAGTCCTAAAGCTCTTACCAGCCTGCTTTTACAGTAAAGCTTCTGGAATTGAACAGATACATTAAACAACAAACTAGATCTAGCAGAGGTGTTTCTTGGGAAGCTGGAAATTTCTGTCAGGCTCACTTTATTTTGTTGAATACACACACTCTGCATGCTTGCATAGAGTACCTCACAGTGTTTTGTCCTTTTAACAGAAGAAAAACCTATCGGAGTTGATTTTTTTAATCTGTTCGGTTTTTTTTTTTTTTAATAAAAAAATCCCAATGTTTTGACTTTAGAATACTACTTGGGAATAAAATGTATTCAGAATGTACTTTGAAGACTAAGAAAAATTCTGCTATTCTTTTTCTAGTCATTGTTCCAAAAGCTGCAAATATGACTATTGTGAAGGATGCAATTAGTCTAAGACTTAATATTGTCTGGACAGCAGAAACCACTAGTGGTGCTGCTTAATGTAATGCTCACTATTGCATACTGAAATATTTATGAAAAGAAGGTTCCATGCTTCATATACAATTGTATAGGATGTGATTTATCAAAGTGTTAATGACCATTTGCTACAGAGCAATTTTATTCGATTTCAGACATTTTTATTCTGATGAGTAAAACACAAAGTCTTACAATAGAAACACATGCCATGTACTTTGTACTGGGAAAGCTACCTTTTTTGTTTGTTTAAATATTTATTTTAAATGATAGCTGTAATACGAAAGCTTCTCTCTTTTTCCTTGTAACTGGTCTTTGCAATACTGTTTGAAGATGTCTAAAGATCATCAACAATTTTACACCATTTTTAATTGTTGAAAAAAGAAGTATGACATAAACCCATGTGCCTATGACATAACCAGAATGATTCCATGTTTTCTTTACTGATTTTTCAGGTGATGGTTTTAATGCTCTTCCTCAATGCTAGTTTTTCTTTACCAAATAGGCTTTCCATAATTGTTTCTGTAGTTCATTGTCTGTCTGAGCAATTATCTGATTCTAAACTGAAGAGCTGAACCTTTTGATTACCTCTGTTTAAATAAATCATTAAAGAAGAACCCTCATAGTGTGTAACAGATGGGCTTCTGTGAGGGAGAAGAAGCTGCTCTGTTGTGTCCACTTCTAATTTGGGTGAGATCATTAAGTTCTGCATGTCACACCTTTATGAAATGCTTGTTGTCATTAAAGTGAGTGGTGAAATTGAATGGCTTATTGCTTATGTCTACGGCCATCTCCACATAAACTGTGATCCTGAAGGATTTAGCCAGTGGTCCCTCTGTTTAGCTTTCCCAGAAGGTGTAAAACCCTCGGTGATGATGCAGGGATGGGACTGGCAGTGCACCTGATATTATCCTTTACTCTGAGCTGACGTTCAGTTGACGCTCCAAAGAAGCACTTGGCAGCCTTCTGTTGGGCAGCATGGAAAAGTCATGTCCACATAAAAACCCAAAAGGATAAAACAGCAACAGCAACAAAACCCTCAAGAAGCCCAGTCTTGCAGAGCTCCTTTTGTGTTGTCTTGGGCAAGTACAGCATGAGTAATTCCCTCTGCTCATTAGTATTCTCTCTGCTGTTTCATTAAAAAAATTGGTGTTCCTGCATTTGCGTGGACTTGCACACTTATGCTTATTCTGTGTTTATTTCTGTTTCACTGATTTTGAGCATGGGTCTCATTTTCTTAGGTCATTTTAAAGCACTTGAGATCTTACAAGTTTAGTAAACACATAGACATCTTTTGGTCTTATAATTCTATAATGTTAGTAACTGCGTATCAAATTGTTACCAAGCTTTGAGGATCAAATTCAGACTAATGATTTTCATTCCATTCGTGCTTTCACAATATCATCCACATCATCTTTGTTAAGTAATATTTAACCATAAGTAGTTAAAGGGTTTTTTTTGTGTTTTAGAATTGCCTTTCTTGATAAATACTATCAGTAGAATTTAGTAACGTAAAAAGAGTAAATTCTGCCAGGCATTTCCTGTAACTAAAATCTCAAATATATCTTAATTTTAGACATCAATTTTTCTCATGATTGAAAAGATTGGAAAACAGTATGTTTAAGCATAATTAAGTTTGCCATATATCTTGAGTCACTTGTAATTGTGTTTCTTACAATGGTGATTTTAAAGGTCATCTTGTGTGGTGTTGTTCATTTAAATGTGTAAAATACTTTGGTTTTCACTTGGGGCATAGAGGTTTAGTCTGTATAAATGCAATGGAGGTATTAAATTTAATCTGGCCTTTCTGTATAATTAGATGCAAATATGTGTAATGCAGAAAATATGAAATATTCAGGCAGCTTGAACTGAGAAAGCAGCTTGGTTTAAAGCCTGCCAATATCTGTAGAGATCTTTTGATCAGGGTGTTTTTGTGTTGATGCTCAAAGGTGAGCTTCTCTTCTATCTCTTCCAAGATGTGATGACAGTAACTTAATTGAAATGTTTTATGTACCTGTATAATACTTTTTGGACAGCAGTATGAGGTAATTACACACAGAATAGTAACTCTTGAAATGACCTGACATGGATGCTGCAGTCATAGAGGTGGTTATCTACCTTGCTGCAAGGAACAAAGCTTGGTCTGAAGTTTTATGCTGGGTCTCTTCAGGGAATATGATGTCATCTTTGACTAGGATGGGCATAAAGACATCAAGATTTTTTAAGTTTAAGGCCACAGAAATGTGGAGTGGTTCTGTTGTAATTGTGCAAGTGCAATCTAGTGGTGAATAGTGTCACTGAACAGCTTCCTATTGCAATGGGAGGTGGGCAACCTCCCCCCTGTAATGCAGTGTGGACACTTTATTGTGCTGGTGTGCAGGCAAACAAGCAAACAGAAAGTTCTGAGATTATTCCAGGCAACTTATTCCTTTACATCTGAAATGCTGTTGCCAGCTATATACACGGTGCATTAAACTTTTGGAGTGGGCATCATATCAAATTATTCTGGTTTGCCGTCTCTGCTCCAGGTTTCTGCACTGCTCTGCTTTTTAGTTCAGCTTCTTCAGCTGACAGCGATGCAACAGAGTAAGTAGGAAGAAGCAACACAGATGAGTTAAATTTGGAATAAATGTGGAAATTCATACCACCAATTTTAATCATTCTTCATTCGATTCTATTTCTGCAGCTGCATCTTCTGAGGTACTGGGCTCAGATTGAAAATCCATGTTTTTTTGTTTTTTTTCTTAATGACTCTAGCTGGTTTGAAAAAGAATGAGATGCTAAGATGCCAAAATGCTAGGATTAAAGAAGAGAGAAAAAAATAGTATATTATGTTCATTGCCCAGATAGAGCAGGTTCCCCTATGTAATTCAAACTCTAGCCCTGGTTACAACCAACAAACATTCTTTATTTTGCCACTTCTAGAATTTGAATATATCATGGTAGGAAATTTGTAACTATTTTCCTGATAGTATATAGCTGCTGTTCCTACATGTTATATTAAGAGAATTCCAGTTTTGTCAGAAAGATGTGTCTGATGAGCTGCTCAGAGGCAGACAGGAAGGTCTGTGGGGCTGCTGATGGGGTGCTCAGAAGAGGACCTAGGAAAGTAGTGATATGGAGTGACACTTAGCAGATAGGATCAAATTAATTTTCAAATATTGCTTTCCTTGTCTCCCAGATGAGGTAATGGAGGCACTCAGGGAATTGATTTTGTGTTTCTGTTAATTTTGCCATTACATATGGGTACTGCCTGTACGTATTTGGCCTTTAGGATGGGATTACAGCATGTGTTTGACAACTTGATGCCAAAACATTAGTAGGTTTGAAGTACAAAATAAGTGTTTGGTCTCTTAAAAACCTCAAGTTTTATTGCAAAAGTCAATGAACAGTTGGTCTACCATTTACGGGTTTCTTTAAGTTATGTTCATTTTGGTTTTTATTTTCAGTGTCACACGGCATGGTTTTGTTTTTTCTTTTTCTTTTTTTCTTTTTCTTTTCCTTTTTTTTTAAATGTTGTTCAAGTTATATTAACATGGCATGAGATTTTCAGGTCCCAGAAGTGTGCAAAGGGCTCTTTAGAATACTTTGCCTCATTTAGTTTCTCTTGAAGATGAGTATAGAAATGGATAGAATATTTAAGAAATAGTGTTAATTTGCTTTCAAGTAGTACTTCAGTGAAACTAATCTTAGGCAGTTATCCTTTCGAATATTCAGACTTTCTGCAAATTGAAGATAAAAATAGTACAGCATTTTGCATTCAGTTAATGTTTTAGATTTTATTTATTTTTTTTAGATGTAAGCAAGAAAATGTTGGTTTGGGTCATCTGGGATCACTGACAAAAAACTGATGTGCTAGAAGAAGACTTTACTGCCACAGAAGCACAGAGTGAAGATATTGTTTAACCTTTTAATTGCAGATATTTTTCAGATGTATGTATTTTGATTCAAAATTTTAGCACTTTAGTACATTTCCATACAAAAGTTTTCATTCAAGAGTTTTGACAGTGTTCTCGAGTTACAGTGTACAAAGCTAATTCTATGATTGCATAAATACATGCAATTTGTAAAGAATTACATCTCCTTACATTGGCAGTAAATTCACCTCGCTGACTGAAGTCAGATATTTATTTTTCTCAGATACTGCCTTTCATCTTTGCTTTGCTATGACTGGCAATATTCAGATACAGCATCTAAAAGTATGTACATCTAAGCAAAAGAAACCCCTGGGATACCATTCCATTTGGAATACAAG